GTTTTGATTTCTTTTGCATTCTTTTCTTTACAGTTGTCTATTCAAATGTATACTCCTCTGTACCTGCAAACATTGGTTGGCCCCTGGCTGGTACCTCCTCCTTTCTACACAAGTTTGTGCGTCCCCAAAATCTTGTACTCTTCAAAATTCAAACTCTGCCACTGGAAGCCTTCTATAATTATTCTACCAAATGACCTGAATTACCACTTTATTCAATTCACTTTAAAGCTTCAAATATCTTCTGGGAAAACTGAGATTGGAGTTTAGGGTTTGGAGTGATATTATGCCCATAAACTATTTTTTGTCATGGGGTCTAATCATTTTTTCCTAACACTACACAGCAGGGTTCAAGCAATATTGCAATAAAATGTATTGAGATATCTTCATCAAAATACATGATGAGATAAACAGGCTGTTTGGTTTTTGGTTCATAATTTACAACAAATGAAATTTAAACTTTTGAAGAATTTAGATTTCACAGCAATTTCTAAAGGACTATCTACATGAATGTAACTGAGTCATTACACAGGACTCAGTATCAAGGCTTACTCAGCCAATATGGATTTGTACTGCTATATTAAAAAATAAATAAATAAATAACTAGCACATAGTAGGTATTCAATTAATTTTTTAGAATGAATGAAGAACTAATTCTCATACTCTGTCTAGCTTGCCAAGGGAAAGGAATACGTCTCTTTTAGTCAAAATTACCAGACCAGTCCTGGAAACAAAATTCTCCAGAACCAATCCCATGATGAGAACAATTAAGTTGATTGGATTGACTCAGTTCTCAAAGTTGTCACCATGACTCCCTAAAACAGTAAACACCCAATGAGGGTTTCACTGGCTCTTCAGGGTTGATCCCTAAGTTACTAAGAATTAGATTGATTCTCTGAGTGAGAAAATGCAGGTTGTGTGATTGGAGAGAGAAAGGAGAGGGGGACTAGTCATGGGGCAAAAAGGAACTTGGAAAATGTAAAAGAGTTGAAGATGACCATATTTCACAAAAACCTCTGACTATATAAAAGAAATGGCACACATATTAAGAATTCTGAAGCAGTTTTCATGATGTCATCTTTCTCTGACAACAACGTGTCTTCTAGGCCCTTTGTTACTTCAAATCCTAAACATACATTTGTAGTGATGAATAACATTGCCTAGGGCTGAAGAGATGGATCCACAACTAAAATCACTGAGTGATTTTCCAGAGGACCCAGGTTCAATTCTCGGTACACCCATCGTAGTTAACAAGTGTGTTTAACTCTAGCTCCCCATGGTCTCTTCTGGCTTCCCCATGTTCTACACAAGCATATGTGCAATCAAAAATCCAATACACATAAAAGTAAAGTTTTAAAAATTGCCTTATTCTTTCTTCTCTGTGTGAAATTTCATAATCTTTCACAAAGAGTTAGCTAATAGAAGTCACAGCCAGACATGACTTCTGCAAGCCCAACATTCAAGAGTCTGATGCAAGAGAACCATGAGTTACAGCTAGCATTGGCTACACAGCAAGACACCTTTCAAAAGAAACAAAATTAAATAAATGCATGGAGCTTCTACATGAACAGTTAATTTCTCAATTTTATGAAATATGGAACTTGCTCTACATAAGCTATTGTGGTGTGGTGTTTGTGAGCTTGGGTGAGGGAAACAATCAGAGGCCACACACTGTGTTTCAGTTCTTGGTTGGTAAATAGTACCCTTCTGCTTGCTACCCTCCTGGTTCTGTGATGAAGGTTAACAATATCTTATCTAAAAATTTCTGAGAGGAACATATGGCAGTATGATCATCAGAAGCACTGCACAATATGAAACATATGGACCCACAAGCACCATGCATTGGTCCGGCACAACCAGTGATAATAGAATGCTAATTATTATTGCCATTACTCGTATGTGCTGACATTTGCACACCACTCTTGCTTTGAAGATGTGTTGGCTTGATATCAAGTTTCATCTTCAAATTATCCTTTACAGCAAACCAAACAGGCCACCCCAGCTTAACAATAAACTTGGGTCAAATGGGGGAAGTAACGTCAAGCTCCAGTCACAACCACAGAACACTTCCTTGCCCATCTGTCACCCTCAAAAGTTTGATGCTGGTCAATGCCACTAGTCTTGAAACTGCTGAATCTTACATAAACTTGAGAGTCACCTTCCCTTGTCTTCTGAGCCTCCATTCACTGCCATTTCAAGCAAAGAGCTGGGGGCTAGGAACTCTGTCCTGCTTTGCTCTGAAACATACTATATTGTCAGCCCACAGTTATGACTCCTTCTCTCCACTATGCTTTCAGGAGAGGATTTAGGCAAAATTCCTACGTTTACCTCACCAACGGATAAGCAGCATGCTATGCAATTTTAATTATAGATACTGGTAGAATGTACACACACTCCACACATGCAATCCTGCATATGACTTTTATAATAGAGTTTTGAATTTATTTTTAGATGTGCATATAGTTACCATTAGAAATAAATCTTTGCAAAATGGAGACAATAGAAACTACTTCATTAAGTCATTGTAAGAAATAAATGAATTATTAGGGAATATCAAGTACTTAGAACAATCAATCTCTAAAGATTCAATAAACATTAACTCTATAAATAGTTTCTTTTTCAATTATTTCTTTTATATGTTACAGAGAGATTCCTGACTTATAAACATCTTTTGTCAAAGTCACTCTCTCTTTTATGTCCATCAATATCATACTTTCAAATGTATCTTACATTTAATTATGTACCTACAAAGAGGAAATTTATATTGTTTATAAGACACTCAGATTATAGTGAAATCACATAACCCTGTAGAAATAAGAACAAGCTGTAATTCTGAACCTATAAATCAGTTTTCCGTAGTATATGAGCCCTTATTCCTGCCCTCACTCTCTGGGTTGTACATGAGTACTTACTATGTATTTTCTAACATTGATTTATGAATGTGATGGGGGAGATCCTTCTATGTATGTTTATCTTATTGGTTGTTGAATGAAGTACTGTTTGGCCAATGAGGCAGCAAGTTAGGTGGGACTAGGAGTTCAGGAGGATTCTGGGAAATGGAGTAGAGATACAGGCAGGAAGTGATATAGCAGGCAGACTCATATGTAAGCAAGGACAAAAAGGAAGTCATTCTCTGTCTCTGTCTGTCTCTGTCTCTGTCTCTCTCTCTCTCTGTCTCTCTTTTCTAGGACCTAATGCATTAGTGTGCCCCTGATCACAGTGAGCCACCCTTATAGACTTGGCTTCAGACTCTTCATGTCACATCACATCTTTCTAGTTGTAGTATTTTGAAGTAGATTTGGGAAGCTGCTTCTGACTGTCATATACACATATTTGCATCTTTTGCCTGGATCCTTTTTCTCAATTCTGGAAAGAATTGCCTTTTTCTGCAATGAACTTTCAGATAAATTCACTTATTTGCACCTCAATAGGTAGGGAGTCCACCTACCATGTCAAGTCCAGTTTCTGTTTTAGCATCAGCTATTATGAATTTTAGTTCATTGTTTTTTAATCTACTTGGGCAATGTTCTCCTGCTTTGGAAACACTGTGTGCTAACTCATAATTGAATAACATGCTAAAATATCCCAGAATCTCTATATAAACCCATCAGTTTATCCACACTGCTCCCCAATCAAAGGGCATGAACAGTTCTTTTGTAATAAACCATGCTAATAACAAGTACCAAGAAAAGCATCACACCTTAAAAATCACATTAACTAGAAAAGCTTTAGAGTTTGGATAAATCACTTCTTTTCCTAAAATTTCTTACTCATAGAAAATACTACTATTTAAAAATTGAGTAATTTTCTAGAGACTAAACAGATTCCTAAGTGCAATGCAGTTTTCTTACAGCAGCGCTTCACTCCATTGAAATTCTGAGACTTGTGGTGCTGAAGAGATGGCTCAGCAGTTAAAAGCACCAGCTGCTCTTGCAGGTGTCCTGAGTTCAATTCCCACAGGATGGCTCACCACCACCAGCAATTCCAGTTCCAAGGGGTCCCATGCCCTCTTCTGATCTCCATAAGTAACAGGCACACACATGATACAAGCAGGCAAACAGATTGCAAACATGCAGGCAAACACTCATACATATAAGATTTAAAAAATAATAATAAATGTTAAAAAAAACAAATTCTGGGACTTAAATTTGAATATGAAGTATGATGTCTCAAATGTAGGCATACCTGCATATATGCATAAATATTATGTTGAACTAAAAGGAAACTGTTAATGCAGTTAATCTTCATAATCTCTGGGAATCTAACTTCCCAAGGCCAAGCCTATGGGGAAACTTCAAGACCACAGACAGCTAACAATCACACTACTGCTCCATGAACATTAAAAGGAACAAATGTCATCTCATAAAGTCATTGGTAAAGCTATCAAACACTATTACAAATCAGAAACTTTGGAATCTTCTCCTTTAAAACAAAAATTAATCTTACTTCCAAGTGTTTCAAAGCCTGCAGCTAGGATTTGGCTTCAGGTTTCTGACACAAAACCCTTCATATAGCCTAAGGAATTTCCCTAGGCACTTCAGGAGTAATCAAATTTCATGTTAACTATTAAATTACAGGCATTGGATTATGTTTTCCAAATGTCTATGTAGACATCCTGAAGGCGCTTAGAAACTATCCTTACCCTAAGCCTAGGCTGGCAAAAGAAACCTTTTACCTGTAACAGCAAAACAAAAGCCCGACCTTCTGATCCCAGCAGGCCAGGCTGCAAAGTGGCACGCGGTGCACCCCGACCCTCATTGTGCAGGCAGATTCTTTGTAACAGTGGGAGACACTGCAGAACAAAAATACTATTACAAATGCTTCAAAAAGAACATTTTTGGCTGCGATAGAGACTTTTGACATTATTTATTAGGTTCAAAAATGCTTCACAGAGCCTAACAATGGTTCTGTGGAAACCAATACATCTGAGGCCCTTTCTGTTGTTCTGGGCAGGCATTGATTGGAAGATGGGCAGCGCTTGCAGAACAATTCCTTCTCAGCAGTCAGTGTAAGTGAGCATTCACCACTTGCCTCGAAGGAGTCTGTGAACAAGCCGTATGGAACCGCCCGGGTGGGCGCGGGGCTGCTGAGGAGCAAGCCTTCTTTAACTTCCTGGTAAATAAATGGGTAGCACAGCCCACAATCAGAGGCAGGGGCTCCTTGGCAGCACAGACACGGAAGGCGCCAGCTGACTTTGACCTGTGTTCAGTGGGGGGATGAGGATGCTTGGGGGTCATCGCTGGTGTTATTTTTATGGCAACAGAGCCTCTTCCTAATGCATTTCCACATATGCTTAGGGAATCTGTGTTTGTCGAGGATCTTGAGGCTGCCGAGGATCTTGAGGCTGCCGAGGATCTTGAGGCTGCCTGATGCACAGACTCAGAGGAAGTCTTACAGCTGACCTGCTGGGAAGAGGAGCTCTGGCTGATACTTCTGCAGAGGCCAATGGCGGTGAAAGGTCTCAACGCAGGACCTGGAAGGCAAAGCAGAGCAATAGTATAACTCCAGCCTGGACAAGGATCATAGGACTGCAGCTGGGATGGAGAGAGAAAAAATCTTGCCTTGACTACCCTGTCACACAATCCAAAGGCTCACTATTCCTTTGCTGGTGCTAGAGAGAGGGTCCCGAGTGCAAGAGCAGTGTTTGAAAGGAGTCTATTCAACCCTTCCAAGAGAAAGAGAAGGGCTTGGTGACTAAAGCGGGACACCAGCTTCTAATTCTGGAAGTTTGTAAAGAGAAACGTTAATGAATCACGTTAGATATGCTGGAAAGGATCGATGGCTCGCCCAGCCTGACAGCTGATAATCTGAAAGCAAATCCAAGTTAGCTACACCATGGATCTGATTCGAAATTGTAAAACCAGCTGACATGAAAACAAAAAGTAGATGACCCCAAAGCCGAGTAGTAGTCATTGAGCCTCCCTAGTAGTCATTCCCCAATCATACTTCCATTGTTTTATATTCTATCTGTATTTTACGTATATAGTCTTTCATTTTTATTTGACAAATTCTACATATTGACCTACACACATTAGAAGTCTATTCCTTCGTTAATAAATTAAGATAATTCGCATGCTTTAAATCATTTCCTGCAACTCTCTAATGGGATTTTTAGTAAAAGGGAAACTCCTAAAATATTTGAAATAGCCCACAGAATTATTTTCCAAGTTCGAAACTGTATAAAACTAGAATGCACAGTATCATCCTAACACTGGCTATCAAACAGCCAATGTATATCTAAGAAACTGAATTCCCACCATGTTGCTTTGTGCCTAGTAGGTACCGATCATCTTCCACTGTGCACTCAACATACCTGTCAAATAGACAAATAAAACAAGAACAACTCAATTCATCTCATTGATCCAATGCAGGAATTATTCCTGAACATAAAACTGGAAGAACACTTCCAAATGCCTAGGTAAGTGAAGGCTTCCAAACTCACTGCTTTGCAAAATCTTAATAACACCTATTACTATGGACTTCCAGCCCTCATATTTGAGTCATTTAGTTATTGTCCATATTCAGCACATGAAGAATCTACTGATTCTGGAATTTAGTATAATAGGACATGACGTAGACAGCGTCTGCTGTCCTCTCTCTTAAGCTAATGGGTGGGCATTCTTTCCTGTGACGCACTCCAGTAATCATCATGATGCAGTGTGACAGTGTAGTCCAACAAAGTCCAGGCTGCCAGAGTCCAGTCCTGAAACATCAGCTGCCCTGACCTTCTTTGCCCTCATGGAGAACATGGAGCTTTCTATCTATGTCACTTGATGGCTGGTGAAATGAAATTTGTTTATTCAATTGTTCTTGGTTAACACTGAGAACTTGGTAGGTGCCCAACAGCATCCAAGATATTAGGGACACAGAGAGAATCAGATGAGCCTTATCTCTGCACTTACACACCCTATATTCTCTTTGGGGGAAGAAAAACACGAAAGGAGAAGAAAGGCAACTCATGAATAAGAAATAAGTAAGCTTAGAAGTCTCAGTTTGGGCATTGGTAATGCATGCCTTTAATCCCAGCACTCAGAAGGCAGAGGCAGGTAGATCTCTATGAGTTCAAGGCCAACCTAGTCAACAAAGCAAGTGCCAGGATAGGCCCCAAAGCTACACAGAGAAACCCTGTCTCAAAAAAAGTTAAACAGACTAGAGAAGTGGCTCAGGTGATTGACTGCTTTCCTCATAAGCATGAAGACCACAGAACCCATGTGAAGATGCCTGCTCTGGGAACAGTCCTAGAGTTAGGGAGGTAGAGATGGGAGGGTCCTTAAGATTCTCTGGCCCTGCCAATCTAACCTAATTAAGAGGTAGACTCCTAAGAATGTGACCTTTGCACGCACACACACACACACACACACACACACACACACACACACACACTAAAAAAAAATGTTAACCAGCTCAAATAATCTGCATCCCATCATTAGGTCCAGAATCCCAGAAATAAAACAATCTCTGACTCAATATCAGCAGACCATCTTAAAGAATCTGCCTTAGCATTTTGAGTGAAAGCTCTCTCCTCTTGGGAATGGGGGTGGGGTGTAGAGAAATCCATTACAAGTCTACATAGCATCAATCCAAAACTTCTACACAACAGTTCCTATATATATAAACACCATCATCATCATATAGTCTCTACTGTATTTAGGGAAATTTTGAAATGAGCCCTTTAATGACAAGTACTCGTCACAGCACTGATTATCTTTGATTTAGGGATGAAAAGACAAAGCTCAAAAAACATCCATGGAACTGTATCATGGTTACAGAATTGATGTGGGAGAGCTGAAACATGAGCTCCAAAACTCTTTCTTCTATTCTATTAAAAATTATTGTGTGTGGGCACATGCGCATGCGCGCGCGCACATACACACACACACACACACACACACACACACACACAGTTGTGTGCATGTGTGCCTACCATATGTATACATATATAAACACATGTGTGAGAACACAGACTTGTGAATGCAACAGCATGTTTGTGAATGTCAGAGGACAACTCCACCTGTTTTGAGACAGTCTCTCAGTTTGTTTGTTGTCACTCACCACTGTCTATGCTGGGTTGGCTGGACTATGAACTTCCAAGGATTCTCGTGTTTCCCCCATTTCTCATTCTCACTTTTGAAACATTGGAATTGCAGACATGTGCCCATATGCCCAGTTTACATGGGCTCTAGAGAGTCAAATTCAAGCCTTTCAAATACATTAGCTACTGAACTATTTCCCCATCCTCTGTTTCCTTTTAATAATCTTTCCTACTATGGAAGTTGAAGTTGAAACATGTAATTATCCCACATATTACCCTATCCTACTAATTCACAGCTTCATTATTTGTAAAGTGGGGAGGGTAGCTGCCTAAATGTTATGTATTGGTTTGTAAACTGATATAAAATGCTCAACATAGAGTCTAGCTTATGACAACAGCTTAACATAGATGACAGCAATAATGGTGCCACTGCTGCTATTTGGTGCAACACCTGCCTAATCAATAACTTGTCATCAATACACACCCAATATCTCTTCAAATGTAATGCTTATAAACAAGTACCCTAAACTTTAATTGATAAAGCTCTTATCACACTTGTAGAATATGGCTCTATGGCTCACCATTGATTCAATAACCAGTGATTGGTTTCATTTATATTGACATTAAAACCAGAAAGTGACAAGCTGAGACAAGAAAAGTTAGAAACCACAATGTGATACCTACCAGAATTTCCCTTGGAGTTTCTCAAGGGATGGTTCTGAAGTGGTATGTGTCTACCTTCAGCTTCCAAAGAAATGGTGGTATTCACTGAGTGTGATCTTTTAAGTTTATTTTCTGCTTGCTTTTCAAAAAATGGGCTGGTCCAGGCCTGCTTGGGTGGTCCTCTAGGTCGCTTCTGCATCCATTTTTTGACAGTAAAGAAAAAAACATCTTCATTCATTTCACTGGATAGTGACGGGGTAGGGCTGTCTTCTCCATAAATGTATTCGTCCAAAGAGATTGTGCTGGCCGGAGAGCTTGGGATTGTGTGCTCACAATTGTAAAGTTCTCTTTCATCTGACATTGAACTATGAGTCCTTTCTACAAATCCTGTAAAAGGAAAACACATTAGTTTGAAAGAATCACTTCAAAGTCATCTTCTAGATCTAAAATGCATTTAGATATGGATTTGTGTGTGTGTGTGTGTGTGTGTGTGTGTGTGTGTGTGTGTGTGTGTGTGTGTGTGTGTTTTCTGTTTCAATCCTGAGCAAACATAAATGACCATGACAGGAGCTGTGGTATCCACGTGGGAGGAAAGAAAGTTGGGAAGAGTGTGGAGAGATATAAAAGGCTGTAACTACTTTGAGTCAGAGGTATGTAGCAGATACTATATGATGCTCTGAACATAGTTGCCACTTAATCCTTACAAATGCCACAGCTAACTGAAACTATCATCTCTACTTTATAGTCAGAACACTTGCTTGCCCCTTATAAGTGCCTCCCACAACAAAAATCTGTGTTGAAGTTCTGATTCACAGTACACCTGTGCATGTGAATTTCTGCATATGTGACCTCATTTAGGAATAAAGTTTCTAAAAATATAATTAAAGATGGAGTCATGCTGAATTAGGGTTCATTCTGTTTATCCGTATTATAAGGCTGATGAGACACATGAAAGCATGTCTCATGGAGACACAGGCAGAGGTGAAGAGTGAAGATGGAAACAGGGATTCAGAGCCAAAGAACACAAGCAACTACTAGAACAAAGGAGCAAATAACTCTTCTCTAGAGCCTTCAGAAGAAGCACACCCAGGCAGACACCTTGATTTGGAACTTCTAGCTTCCAAAAGGGAATGAGTAAGTTTGTTATTTTAAACCACCCATTTTGTGACCATTTCTTACAATACCCCAAGGACACTTAGAACAGGTAGATGGTCCAAGATCACATAAATACTAATGAGCAGAGTTAGAGCTTTAGCCAAGAATCTCAGTCCCACAGCACATGTCCAGTGGTGAGGCACTTCTTTAGATGTACTGGCAAGGGGAAAAACCGCTTAAAGCTGCTTTATAGGACTGGGAAGTGTTTGCCTTGCAAGCATGAGGATCTGAGTTGGTTCTCCCAGAACCCATGTGGGCACATTTGTATGCCTAATGTGGTGGAATAGGAGCTAGGTGGATCTCTGGGGCTCATTAGCCAGCTTGGCTGGTCCCAGGCCAAAGAGAGACTAAATGTGAGAGAGCCTTCAATAGTCAAAGGTAGTCATGGACATAGACAGTGCAGTGTCGACTTTCCTTGTTACAGACACTGGTAGCTTGAGGGACATAGGGAGAAGGTGGCTTAAAGAGATAGCTAAGAAGCAACTCTGACCTCTTAGCTTAAAGTAATGAGTGAGGGAAGAAACAGGAAGAGAGAAAATTAAGTCACTGTGGGTGAAGGAGAGGTGTGTGTGTGTGTGTGTGTGTGTGTGTGTGTGTGTGTGTGTGTGTGTGTGTGTGTGTTCAATTTTAGAATTATAGTTTGAAAGCAACTGAGATCTTTTTCGGGATGGGAAGTGTTGGGAGGGGTATGAGAATGGACAAACCTTATTTTATCTAATTACCAAATTCAATCTTCTTGTGTTTTGTATAAATAAAAACATAAATTTTGGGTTATTTCTAAGATATGTTATCCTAATATAAGAAGAGTAGTGAAAGCAATACAACTTGGAGCTAGATATGAATCATGGTTTTCTCCAATTTACAGCTCAATAAACTAGGAAATTTTAATTAATATTGCCTCAGTTTCTCATTCATAAAATACAGAGAATTACAACTACCTCTTGAGAATATTATAAAGAACAGATTAGACACTGTGTATAATGTATTTAGAGTATAGTTAGAATGTAGAAAATAAATATTAAATAGCAATATTATTGCATAGCAAAGTCAAGCTTATATGAAAGAATAATCCTTAAATATAAAGATGTAAAGTACATGATGGAAACAAAATTTGAGGAAAATAAACTAAAATCCGCAGTTCAAATACTGAATTTTTATGAAACTTTAATTAGACAAAAATAACATTTAATGAGTTAAAATAGTTTAACATTCGTAGTGCAGATGTATTTAATGACTCTTTTCACAAGACAGTGACATTAAATGAGATCTTCAATGGGAGAAGTAGTGTAGGGAAAGAGAAATTTCAGTGCTTAGGAATCTCCCTGGGTTGAGAGCTAAGCAGAGTGGTTTTGAGAATGGAAGGGGAACTTACAGAAAGACATTGAGTCTATGATAGTGTGGCCACATGAATTGTGTCCTCTAGAAAATATATTCAAGCCCTGAACTCCAGTAGCTGTGAAGCTGCCCTTAGTTGGAAATAGATTCTTTTTGTGTAAGAATAAGGTGGGGTCATGGGGGGCTGGGGGGTAGCCCTTAATCCAATTTGAGTAGTATCCTGATAAGGAGAGAAATAAGAGATACAGATATAGAATGCCACAGGATGTGAGAGACAAGATTGAAGAGGTGTTTCTACTAGTAAGGGAATGGCAAGAATTGTACCAAAAGCTAAACCTGCAGGCGAAGCTTTGACTCTTGCTCTCCAAACCCAGAAAATAAAGTCTCTTGTTTTAACCTGCCAAGTCTGTGATGACTTGCCACAATAGCCAAAAAACTATTACATACATTATAGCTTTAATTTGCATACGTTATCCTGGAGTAATTACTATTAAAACTCTTTCACCTAAAAGATAGTGTTTATAGTTTGGATATAGAAAAGATAAAGACCCCAAATATGGTAATTACATACTATGAAGGAGGAGAACTGGGTGGATGAGTTCTACCATATAGAATTAGGCTAAAGTACCAGGAAATATACTGTTTGTGTGTTGAGTCAGACATGGACAAGAGGATACTGGCCATACTAACTAGCACATTCTGCCAAACCACAACTTTGTATATTAGAAAATTCTCTAGTATACCACTAAAGTTGGGTTATCCTGAGAGTATCTGTCACATTTGAAGGGATCAGACACCTTCCAATACTTTTATTGCCAAGAAGAAATGGAGAGTCCAGGAAAAAACAACAGACTTTTTAGGAGAACAAGAATGTTTAAGAATGTAAAACCTTCTGATTTTTAAATGGTGGTATCTCTTTAGTCTTCTATATTATGTAGTATATAATACACATGACAGAACTGCTCTCTGAATAAGCACAAGCCACCAGTTTTTGTCTTTGGCACATAGCCAGACCTATGAGTGCCATAATCATTTACTTCCTTCCATAATATTTTTACCTTAGAACATAATTTTATAAATATTCTATTTGGATCAATGAGAATGCATTTGTAATCTCTTTCACAAGGAAATCTTAGATCTAGATATCTGGTTTACCTCCATCACATTAACTAGAATGTCTGATTTTCATTTTAGTTGATTTGTTATTTAATCTTATACCCCCACAATTTGACAGGGTAAACAAAAATTGTCAAGTTTTCCAAAATACATAGAAACATTTAGGATCTTCCAAACTTGTAGTTTTGGGTTTCTTGGTATAAATGGAAAATTACTACCACTATAACCGATGGTATTCAATTTATTCTTGTTTGGTTCAAATATTGCAAATAAGATGTAAGGTCTGAAGCACTTCAAATACATTCAGTTTCCCTTTACATCCAAGAAGTATTTAAATGTATTTATATTTGAATATTTAAATACATCTATTACATATTTAAAAGAACAAGGGCATTTAAATGTTATCTGAGACTAACCACTTTCAACATCCAAATCTGTGGGAATATTCTGAGGGACTAAATCTTCACACCTGTGGTGATATTTTGTTTGTGCTTTAACAAATAAAGCTTGCCTGAAGATCAGAGTGCAAAGCTAGTCACTACTTAGCCATAGAGGCCAGGCAGTGGTGGCACATACCTTTAATCCCAGCACTTGGGTGGCAGAGGCAGACAGCTCTCTGTGAGTTCAAGGCCATCCTGAGCTACATCCTGAGCTAGATTGATCCAGTCTAAAAGAGAAACAGAGCTCATACCTTTGATCCTAACACTAGGGATGTGGAAACAGGAGTGATATGGCTGGGTGGAGAGAGGAATATAAGGTGGGAGGAAACAGGAGCTCGTGGCATTCAGTCTAAGGATTCATAAAGACAGCATTCAGTCTGAGGATTCCTAGGGACAGGATTGCCCCTTTGATTTGAGGATTCAGTAGAGGTAAGAACTAGTGTCTGGCTGCTCTGCTTCTCTGATCATTCAGCATTAACCCCTATATCTGACTCTGGGTTTTTATTATTAAGACCAATTAGAATTTTTGCTACACATACCTTTGCATCAAATATTCCATCCCTTTTCAGAAGGTCACATAACTGCATTTGTGATATATTAGGCATTCTGTATACAGTAAACAATAAAACCACAGTGTAGTATATATTAAGTATTAAGATGGGTAGTCATTGTGGTTTTTTATTTAGACATTTAACCAATATATTTAAGTATCTGCCACAGGTTAGATATTACCAAATAGAAGCAATTATTTTTAGTAAAGTTATACGCTTGCCAAAAAAAAAAGTGACACACTGGAAGACAATTTCAATTTTATGTGTAACCTAGAAATGATGAACTTATGGGAACAGAGAGCAGAATTGTGGCTATTAGGCTTCAATGTGGGGCTTTTAACAATGGGGAAACAATTGGTTAAAGGATGTAAAACTGCAGTTGGACAAGAGGCATGGACTATCTGAAGTCTTGAGGTCTACTGAGAGCATGATAAATATGTTTGATAACAATATGCTATATTTTAAAAGTTGTGAGATAGTATACTTTAAATTTTCTCAAAACAAAAATGATGAATATGTGTGATATAACATGTTAATTGGTTTAATTTAGCCATGCCATTGTGAACATACTGTATTCTGTATCATAATTGTGCATGACTTTATTTATGAACTAAATAAATGAATGGAAAAAAAGAAAAAAAGAAGCAATTATTTTAAGACAAAGTTTACCAGTTGATCTACAATAAAATGTACTTGAGCCTGTCAAACCAGATTCTGCTAATTTCACCACTTCCTGGTGACCTGGATTAAGAGAACAACCAGTTGTCTTGATCTTAA